AACATTAGTTCTTCATTATTTTCCATTAGAAACTTGACTGGATGCAGTCGGATTCATACAAACACAGTGGATCTGCAGAATTGAGTTTGGACTAGCACAAACATACGTTGATTTAGAAATGAAGGGAAATTATCTGATTTGTGTCAACACAAGCAGCAACAAACAACATTATTTTCTTTAAAGGCCAGACAGCCAGCGTCTGTGGCAGCCTGTCACTGCAAATAATGAATATGAAACAACTTACCAGTGATATTTTCATCCAGCAGCTGTCAGCTTGAATCCAATCCATCAAATCCAAATGACGTGAATCCACTGTAGCCTGCATGAAGTGTCCAATATCTATAATAACATGACAGACTCTAGCTTCCAGCTACCTGCTACCTGCATTTCCACCTGTTTGTGTGTAGAGCTAACAGCAGGACTCTGTCAGACATGGAGGGTTGAGATGTTGACTGGGAGAAAGTTTGTGAGGGAAACACACGAGGCTGTGTGTACTTTTTAAACACTGTTGTTGTTGTTGTTGTTGTTGTTGTTGTTGGGAGACACAGCGAGGTAAACACAAACACAGGCTGCTAGCGTTTAAATCTCCCGGTGTTGAACCTGCGCGAGGCTGGAGGGGGCCTGTTAAGGGGGTACTGCACTCTTTGCTAAAGGGGGCGGAATCAGCGACCACACAAACAGGCCGCAGTGCCTCCGCTGGTGCTGTTCGCTACGTACCGTCGACAACCCCTTGGCAGCGGTGAGGGCTCGTTTTTGCCGCATTTAAGATACACAAACAAACTTTATTCAAAAGAATTACCTAAACAACACAAGTGCATGTTCAGTCAGGTAGATTGGGCCAATTTCCACAGCAATCCATTCAACTGTTACTGAGATATTTTCCTGAAAATGACAAATGTGAAGCTAGTTGTCAGTCTGGACCAAAGCTGTGGATTGAGAGGATTGAGAACTGGATTTGAAGCACTGGGCGTAAAGTAAGTTAGCCAATATTTGTCAAATATGAACATAATTCAATAGGCTCTGGGCTGCTTCAGAGAAATCTGGTAGAAATCCACTAGAAAGATGTCAAGATATTTGTTTTATCATGTGATTTAAAGAGGCATGCTCCAAACAGAGGATGTCAGTGAATCTAATACATTTCATAAATTATTTTGGGAAAACATGAAATACTTAATTGTTTCCTCCTGCACAACACATCTTAATTTAGGAAAGTCGTGAAATTACTCCACAGAGAGCTCAACATAATCACTCACTGAGGGTTTTTTTCCCCCATCTGTCTTTAAATGTGTCCAATGTGTTTACTATCCATTAAATATCCAATTTGAACTCTGAATGATTATGTTAAAAGCCCTAAACTCTCATTTTCTCAATCAGCCAATCAGCTCCTTACTATGAGCAACGGCAGAGCCAAACTATTTTCTCACTATGTTTTGGTTATGTCACATGAGGAGTTTCTATCTTGGGGAGTTTTTTGTCCGAGCTCTTCTCGCAGGTTTAAAGTGGGCGGCATTCTGCTGGAAAAAGATGAACACATATAATAGGCTACACTTCCATGCACCAATCAGCATTACTTGAAACAAACGGAGAAGACAGTGGTGGGGTTGTTTGTTCATGTTTGCAGCACTGTCAATCAAATCTGATGAAACCACACACACACACACACACACACACACACACACACACAATGATGAGTTTTTTTCCCCCTGCTAAACTCTTAGTGACTTTCCCATTTATTGAGTAATTTGTTAACTGTCAATGACATATTGAATAAGGTTTTCATCATTCTGCAAGTTCAGGTTTCACTGCAGCTCTCGAGGAAGTCACCAAGAGGAAGAGAAAAAGCTCTGGGCTTTAAGGTTTTGTTAGTGTGTACTGTGTACTGTGTCAGACTAAATCTTTAAATGACTGATTTTCTATGTCTTTCATTTACGCTTGAAACACTGTCCTTTTACTGGACCTCCCTGGGAAGTACAACATCCCTGTGCAAACATCTGGCCATAGACTTTGAATGCAGCACACTACACCTCCCCTTTGTGCATGATATGAAACTCATGCTGTGCATGGAAATTGTAATTCCGCCCTTGCCATCCTTCAGTGGCATCTCCGTCTGCATTTGATTTGTCCGACCCCGCTGTGATTCCTTCCCATCTCCTTCATTTATATGCCAGTGTATGATATCTTGGCAGTAACGTTCATCTATAAATTATTCCCTTTAATCAGACACATAACTTTCAACTTTGCATCTGCAACATCCTCCACCTTGTGTTCATAATCAGTCCATGCAGCCCATTATCATCCTTGCACTCTTTGAAGAGCTGTGATGTTGTGTTCACATTGGGAAATAGTAGCTATAAACAGAATTAATCCGGTGCTTTACTGGGAAAGGGATTCATCACACAGCAGAAGTGAATGTGGTGAGCAGAGAGAGCACACTGGCCACGTCAACAGAAAACGTGTTGCCTAAATGACTAAAAGCTAATGAGACATGATCATGACACGCTACAGTGGCTGATTAAGAAGCTGACCAACCTTGAAACCTTGTCTAAAATCCATCATGGCATAGTTTGTCTCAGGAAATTGTTGCTGCTCTGAGCGCTTACATGCTCCCTTTAGGAATGTGTCATTTTTTACGTTCCTGTTTGGGTAGCACTGGTTACGCAGGCCAGCAGTCCCTTCAATAAGCAACCAAACTTAGTCCGGAGAGACCACCAACTGTGAGTCATCTTCAACCTTTGGAGTTAATAAAAAAAAAACCTTCCCACAGCTCTCTCAGGTTCTGTGAGGTGTGACAAAGTGCGGCTGATGTCTGGCTCAGATGGCAGACCTCAATGCGTGTGTGTGTGTGTGTGTGTGTGTGTGTGTGTGTGTGTGTGTCTATGGCTGGTACCCGGCTTGTCGCATCAACGCTAACATTCCCAGACTTTCCGATGTCTGACTCAGATTTGAAGCCTCTTCTTCTGATGTATGCGTGTGTGTTTGTGTGTGCTTCAATATGGAAAACAGAGGAGCTGCCCTACAGCAAGAGCTGTAAGTGCGTTTCCACTCACCTGTTTTATGTGTGTTTACAAATTGTGTAAGAAAAACACCAGAAATTCGAAAGAAAGCTTGAAATATCGCGAAAAGGATTTTACACATGGCTGAGGTGCAAAAGTTGGTGCATTGATAAAAACAAAATGTAACAAATTGCAATGGAAAAAGACTTCAGATAAATACATGAAGCATGTGACTGAAAGGTCTGACGCAGCTCCACTGAAGACACAAAAAATGGCGGGAAATAAAAACATCAGATCTGTGTGGAGCAATGAGCGTTTCTCAAATTAAGAAATTGCATATTTCTGCCACATTTTCCCATTAATGTTTTAAGGAAAATTGGATATCATGTTTAAAGATGACGCTCAATTCATTTCCATTAAAGTTGTTCACGTACCGTATGTCTACCTGTAGCCGGTTCACATTCCCAGGACATCGAATACTGCAACTTGAATCATGTAACATACTTATTTGAACCCAAATCATGATCTTTTCCTCAACCTAGCCAAACTGTGACCGTTCAATGTTCACCACGTGTTATGTAAAAAGGTGTCTCATACAGATACCAAAGGGTACTTTGCGCCGGAGGGCTACATTGGGATTTGGATTACACAGGTCCTGGGAGACACAATGCAAATCTCGCAGGAGTTGTGCTGCAGACGGGAGTCTTAAAAAAAAAAAAAACTGCAGGTCCTGGGATTTATTTGGAGACAGAGTCAAAGTTAAGGGGAAGATTAAGGCGGCAAGACAGCAAAGCATGGAAAGGAGCGAATGGTTATAATGCTAGCGGGAGCGGGCGGGAGTGAACACACATAGAGGGATCGGGTGGTAATAGTCAAGAATCCACCTGGAGTGGAGGATTATCCGTGCTCACACTTCTAAATGTGATATAGAAGAGTGTGACAAAGCAGTGCTGGAATTTTGACGACCTGGAACGAGAACGTGTTGCTATACAGGCATTGTTGTTTTTGGAAAAACTGACCGTTGACTTACGCTAATGGGATTCAATACAGTTCTTATTGACTTCCACACTAACAAATCAGATCAAATGAATCAAATTCTGATACAAAAAACAGTAAGTCATTTCACCATGCTTGAAAAAATGTTACTGCTTCTTTTCTAATGAAATGCCTGTCAGTTGCAGTATCGAGTGTGGCTACTGAGGTGGGAAAAAGACACCTTCCAGCCTCGCAACGCCTTTCCCGGCGTCTTGCGTTTTCAAAATCGTCTTCAGGTCATTTGAGGTGTGCATGGCGCTACCTTGTCTCTTTGCACCTAATTCTTTTGCAATGGTTTCATGGTTCCTGACTGCAGAATTAGTGCCACCAACTGTTTATCTTGAACGCACACTTTCTGGAAATTCTGTTTTATTGTGCATTACATTTGGATGGAAACCTGGCTTGCCAGTATTACATTTCAACAAAAAGCTTTTTTATGTCTTAAACTTTTATTCCATTTCTGTGCCATTATGTAAGTGCAGAAGATGACCAAGATCTATCATAGTGATAATATAATAATCCCCCATTATCTTACATAAAGACCAAAGTCCTACAATAGATTAGGATGCTTTATCACAGCATAACCAAAATGTCTCTGATAGTGATTACAAATGCATTACTGTACAACAGGCACTGTATTTTCTCTACTGGGTCCATACAGGAGCACAACAGTGATATTTATATTTTATACTGTATGTGCTTGTTTGTGACCCCTATGCAATCTTCATCTCCATCACTAAGAACACAAATATGTGGCGCAGTGAACTATATTATTAGGCTATACACACAGCATGGTGCGCCATAATTCTATGTATGTTGTACAGGTACACACATATCTGTTGTACTGGGGGAGAGAAAGAGAAGAGAGAGTGTGTGTGTGTGTGTGTGTGTGTGAGAGAGAGAGAGAGAGAGAGAGAGAGAGAGGGGAGGAAAGTAGGAGGAGGTCTGTGCGCAACGTCGGTGCCAATAGGCGCTCTGCTGTCTAATTAAACCCCTACCACGTAATCCCAACGAAACCATCCCCCCGTTTAAATCCACTCCAACGGCGCTCACCACTCAAACACACTGTCCTCCGCTGCTATCCCGTCCCAAACCCGGCCCCCGGAGGAGAGGAAACGCCAGCAGGAGCAGCAGCAGCACCGCAGCACCATCACTGCTGCTTCTTCACGGTAACATGGTTTGCAGGGCTCGGCTGCTGTAGCCAAGGGCCACTTAGTCAGTCACTCAGTCAGTCAGTGTGTGTGTGTGTGTGTGTGTGTGAGTGTGCAATAAGAATCAGTAGCAGCAGTAGTAAGAAAGCGGACCGAGATCTCGGTCAACACTATTCACCCGGAGCACCAGGAGGAAGGAGCCGAGCATCTCCTGCATCTCTACCCGGCTGTCCCGCACACCGGCCCCGCTGATCTGGAGCAGGGATACCCCGCCTCTCCTCCACAGACACTGCCTCGGCTTAATCGGGTAAGGAAGAAGGGTCGACATTTGCATACATCGCAGGTGTTCTGACATAGCTATTTAATGGATGCTTTCTGTAACGCTGTCGCCGGTAGAACGCATTCAGCTTGTGGAGAAGCGGCGCGGACGCTTTTGTTTACCCGCCGAAACGATGCGTATTTCGGCTGTGTGGCGACAATAAAGCGCCGAGTGAAGGCAGAGCCTGTATGTGATCTGAGAGCATTCCCGTATACCCCCTGCAGTTTGTTTGATCGCATTGAGGCAGATGTTGATGCTTTCTGTGCGGTCCACTCGGGCTGATCATCTGAGAGAGCGCTTTAATGTAATCACTAAAAGAAAAAGGGACCAAAAAGCTCTGTTGTGCAGCCAATAGGATGATAGCGGCGTCGGTCTGCCATTTTTATGAATGATCTGAACGCGGGACAAGAGGCAAGGACGGATGCGCACGGTGGTGCTCTGGATCTTCCAGCTCTCTTTCTCTTTCTCTCTCTCTCTCTGTTTTAGAGCCACGAGGTGCATTCAGCTCCCATCTCCCTGAAAGAGACATACAGGAAGGAAAAGAGGAAAAGAAAGATTGAACTGCATCCTCTTTTTGGTTGCCAATATTCCTGTTGAGACCGCTGAGTATATGAATATTCTTATATGGCAACATTATAGACATAGAATATATAAATAGGCTACTGAATTATGTGTATTTTGTCTTTAATGAGTCAGTTTACAGATATTTCGATCAAATATATGGCTTTTATTTTGTAGTATTTTAGCAGTAATATGCCATATTTGCTGTTTCTGACCTACAGGATACTATAACACCAGCTGAATGATCCAAGGCATAAAGTTCTTTGCTCTGTTACTGAGACTCAGGACTTATTAGGCTATCTGACTGCTCTGTAATAGGTTGATACCAGCCTTACTAACCAATCAGTGTGGTTCTAATGCAGCTTGTGGTCTGCTCAGTTAGCCCACTCCATCTTATAGCTGCAACCTCGACATCTCATAAAACATGTGATTTATCCTTTTATCCACAGTGGAGATGGAGTAGAGGTTTAGTGTTGTGGACTAAATAAATAAAATAATAGGCAGGGGCCCAGTAGCCCTCGAGGGAACATAACATGCCATCTTTAATCATCATCTGTCACTTAGGTGTTCACCTCTGCTCTCCTTCTCCTTCAGATAACAAGCCCGTTTATGCCTGATTCAGGCCCTGCTGTGCTACGGCGATATGATACATTTGCCTCTTCGTTTTCTTTCCTAAATGCCACCCAGCCGTTGTGCGCCTTCGGTGTAATCCTTTCAGATTTAACTGGTTCCTGTCAGACTTGGCATTAGGCAGAGAGAAGTGAGATCTTGTGCGGGAAGTCGCCCGTCATCCACTCAGGGATGTTCACGGGAGTAACACGAGTTGCAGTTATAGGGTCGAAAAGGCACTGTGGTCATTCTGCGGTTGTCGTTTGGGGCAGCTAATCATGAAGAGAATGATGAAAGATCCGATAATGTGGCCGTCATTGGGTCTGACCTCAGGTTAATGGGAATGTGGTGCATGGCGGAGGAACGGTCCTGACTAATTAATGTGTATTTGGGGATTGTGTCCTGAGGAAACCTAACTAACGGGCAGAGTCCTGCTGCTGATGTTTTGCTGGATAGAGGCGGCGTTTAGCCTGCATGTGCTAATGCTAGTCTAGTTGTTACATAAGAAGATAAATGTGTGCTGGAGCACCTCTCTCTCAGTAACTCCGGCTCATACACACACTTGCCTGCACACACACACACACACACTTATGACTTGTATACATACAGAGCAGCAGAGGTCTTAACCCTGAGGCGTTGAGCACCTAGAAAATGATAGATGTTGTAGTCAGCTTGTGTTTCTATGAGGCCGGTGATTTGCGGTGCAGAGGGAGAGGGAACTAGTTTCTAATATCACCTCTTACTCTCTTCAGTGGCTCCTTCATGCATGTCTCCACTGTGCACAATGCACTTCTTTCTATATTCTATACTTTAGGCTTTCGCAGGAACCATCCAGTGTTGCTCATATAGGTGACCTTGCGCTCATGTGACGCTGCTAGAAATTCTTGACAAGATGCCCCTGACCACATGTATGCATGGAATACATAAGTACACGACCTGAAAGTCACTTTGAATTAAGGTTTCTGTCTGGTCACGTGACAACAGGTCAGTGGTGGATCACAGGATAGAAACGCAAAAAGGCTCAGCCACTTGGAGCTTTTTCTTCCTTCCAGGGAGACAAGTAAGGCTCCTGATGTTCGGAGACCTCGGGGCGGGTTAACTTCCCCCCACAGAGGTCTGCTGTTTGTACATCTTCTGGCAGCATGATGGATGTGGAAGGCCATTGGAATTTTCTCAGAGGACAACATTAACTCTCTTTATGGAAAGAAAAGAGAACATAATCATTAAGAGAACAGCGAAGAGATGGGCATAAAAACTGAGTGTAAAATGGCTCTGTGGTCTGGCAGTGTAAAACTGTAATGGGGAGGAAATGGTTTTGTTTATCCTCTACGAGAGTTATATTACATTTTGTCTTTAGTGCTCAAATACCACTTTCCTGTGAACCATTATCTCCACGATTGTTATGATGATTGCAATTACGTATTGAATATAACACACTGTCCTCACCACAGTGTTTTTACATTTCTATCTTTTAGTAGTGCGAAAGTGCGGAAGTAGCTTAATGTTGTTGTACTGCTATTATACTGTGGGTCATCTTCCACCAACAGTCAACTTTGGTTTATTTTTAAACCCCTGAGAACTTTCAAATCATACGTATTTAATGGGAAAATAAGCAACAAATAGAGTTGAAATTCTACTTAATTTAAAACTCAATTACTGTGGGTTTGGCTTGATCAGATTTGACTGAAAATGCTAACAACATAAGCAAACAACCCCTCGGCTGTCACCACATGTTTTGACATCACCTTGTTCGGAATAAGCCCCGCCCACTTCGCACCAGTTTGCAAGCTGCAGTCACTTCCTGTGTCCTGTATAATGATTATATTCGAACAGACATAATCAACAGCCACCTGCGTAAAACTTAGTTTCATTTATTACACCAATGTTTGAAGCTTACTTCTCTAACTAAAAAACTGGAAGCACGTTAAAGGGGTACTCACATGATTTAGTATTGAACTTGCTTGAAGTTTGGGGAAAGCAGCAGACACCAAGATATCTCACTTTTAGTGTGGACCAAGCTTTAGGAAACACTGGACCCTACAATTCCCATAATGCAATTAGTAGTGTATTTCATTAGACTGTCCCTCCCTTCCACTTCGTTCAAACCCCACAACTCTGTAACACAGTCTTTCTGTAAAAAATGTAAGTCTCAAGCCTGAGCCCGAATAACCCTGATGACTCATGATCATTATGACATCTTCATAATGTTGCATGTTACATCTTTATCCTAAAGCTATAGTGAGAATCAGAGAAGACTGCCACAGCTTTGTAAGCCTTGACGTGGCTGTGTTTTCATATGTAGTAGAGTGGGATGTGTGGGATGTGGCCTGCGTGGGTTGACACGAGGTCTGTGTTTCCCATGCGCGCTGCCGACCCTATAATCTGCCCTGATCCTACTGGGAGGAGCGTCTCCTGCCCATCAGACATCCAGTCTGATAAAGCCCACAATAAGGCAGACAGAGCAGCTGCTCTGCTGGAGGTGGACGGCTCGGAGGAAAACACAGCACGTACCCAAACCAGAGATGTCACCAATCAATCGGAGTGTGACCCTCGATGTGGCTTAGAGCACAGCCAGTGTTGGGTTTGGTCCTTGTTAGAGCATCCTTACTGTGTGAATTACTCTTTTGGATTTGCTGCTCGCCTTTTATGAATGGACTGCAATAGCTTGCTTTTAAATGTGTGTCAAGTGAATGTGGTGGAAGAATCTTTTTTATATTATAATCAAAAGGTTAAGGTAAAAGTTCTTGTTCAGCAAATTATATATTATTATATTTTACATTATTGAATTATTAATACTAATGAATCAGTGTGCTAGCAGTGGTCAGTGGGGCTAGTTTGAACCTTATACAGTGAAGCTCAGTAGTGGTACCCAACTAGGGGTTGGGCCCCTCCAATGGGTGACAAGATAAATCTAAAAGGGTTGTGAGATGATGAATAGGAGAGGAAAAGTTCTGCTACACAAATTCTTATTTATATTTTGGACTTTTCTCAAATCACTGTAAAAATACTATACTATATAACAGATAATAAAATAATAATATTGGGTAATTTGATCTTTTTGGATTCAAAGTTATTTAAATGAAACCATCTGAAAAGTTTAGATAGGCATCTAAAACATAATAATGGGACCAACCACTGAAACAAATTGTGTTTTATGAGCCGATTGTGTGTTTTTTAGTAACCTTTAACTACAGCTGTTAAATAAATAAAAAGTCCCTTTGAAATGTAGTGGGGTAGAAGTGAAAAGTAGAATAAAATGGAAATACTCTAGTAAAGTACAAGGACATCAAAGTACCAAAAGTACTTTACTTTCAACTAATGAACAAATTAAACATCAAGCTTAAGCAGCATAATTAGGGAGGAATCCAATCAAAAGACACTGGTCTGGAATAACCTGACGGGACCGTTAAGTTATTCCTCTTTTTGTCTTCTAATAGAAGCATAAAAACAAATTAAGTAGGAAGAGGAACGAACCACAGAAACAATAAAGTAGATAATGAGAAAGTATTTAAAAGAACTGTTATAAAAGCAAGTTAGAAAGTAAGTTTCAAGTGGAGATTTTTAATAAATGACAGTAATTCTGCTAGTTCACCTCCTGTTCTTTCCTCTCCTCCAGCCATTAGGAGGCTGAAAGGGCAGCCAATTACTCCCAGAGCTCTGCATGCGGTTTGGCTAATGAAGTCAGGGGGGAGAAGCGTGTGTGATGGTGTGTTCCTTAGCATGAAAGGGCCAACATCTCTCGGGCCGATAATGTGCGCTGGAGAATACGCACTCGCCGCACACTCCACCGATACCTCTGTTGAGATGATATCTCAAAG